GTCACCAAAAGATGAAGCTAAACAGGAGTATATGTTAAGGGTACCATACACAAATGTTGTTGGTAGCTTGATGTATGCAATGGTCTGTACGAGACCTGACATTTCACAAGATGTTGGAGTTATTAGCAGATATATGCATAATCCAGGAAAGGAGCATTGGCAAGCTGTGAAATGGATTCTACGGTATATTCATAATACTGTAGATGTTGGGTTAGTTTTTGAGCAGGAATGCAATCAGTCTATAGTTGGATATTGTGACTTAGATTTTGCAAGTGATCTGGACAAACGAAGATCAACTACTGGTTATGTGTTTACTTTTGCAAAGGCACCAGTTAGTTGGAAGTCTACTTTGCAATCAACAGTTGTTTTGTCTACAACAGAGGTAGAGTACATGGCTATTACAGAGGCTGTGAAGGAGGCAATTTGGCTTCAGGGGTTGCTAAAGGAGCTTGGTATTGGACAAAAAAGTATCATAATTTTTTTGTGATAGTCAAAGTGCTATTCAATTAGCGAAGAACCAAGTTTATCATGCCAGGACAAAGCACATTGATGTTCGGTATCATTTCGTACGAGAAATCATAGAAGAAGGTGGAGTCACGGTGAAGAAATATCATACTACGGAGAATCCTGCTGATATGCTGATAAAGGTGGTGACTGCGGTCAAATTTCAACATTGTTTGGATTTGATCAACATTGTTGAACACTGAAGATTGAAGATGAAGACACAACCAAAATTTGTTATTAAGAGAAAATTGAAGATGTGAAATTTTGCCAAGGTGGAGATTTGTTGAAAATGTCAAAAGTCCCACATTGATGGGTGACATATTTGGTTGGAATTTTTTCCCTATAAAGGGAGAGACCTAATGTTTAGGATTTAGACACACCTCTCATTTGCATTCTTATCTTCTTAAGGTATTTGTATCTTCTCTCTTTAGTATTATTTCACTTGTATTTTGGAGTGGAATAAAATATTGGTTGTGTCCAAGGAAATAGGCAAAATTGGCCGAACCTCGTAAATTCTGGTGTTTCTTTTATTGTTGCTTTATTGTCTTATTTATTATTTGGTGGCTATCATAATATTTTTGGTATAGTAATTGTGACTCATTCACACTATATACATTTGGCTTCCGCAACAATATCATCATATTCATTGATAATCATTGAATATTAAATTTGCCATTGAATACTCCCGGACACTATTCATCTTGCATATATCCTACAATATTTGATCTAGAATTTATTAACTCTAACTAAGATTCACCCTTTACTTCATCATTAATTGGTTTAATAAAAGGTTTAACACTTTTTGGTCAAACACCCCATCCCGGTTCCTTTTCCTTTCTTTTTTGATCCTTGAACGAAACGTAGTGTAGGTTTGAACATAAAACTTATAAAATATGCCTTCCACTGTCTTTACCTCCAACTATTTGCACATAGGTGAAAATTTGTAGAATAATATATACTGTACTATATAACTTAGTTTCTATAGTTAGTGATCGAGAAGGAGCTGCAGATGCAATGATACTTCCCACTTATTTACTTAAAGTCCTAAATCCATTTCTACAGAAATCACTATTGCTTTCCAAGTTGATCTGATTCCGGTTCTTCTTTCGTTTATTCATTATTTTACTGAAGGGGGTTATGTGGTGGTTGTGAAAGTTTGCATTCTTTGAAAGCTTCAGATCGGGTTATTAGTCATTTTTACATGACAATGCTCGGATGGAAGGACTGAATTCTTAGTCCATATGTTTATTTATTATCTGAGAACAAGTGAATCAATTATTATGGAGTACAAAATTATTTTCAATAATAATGGTGGTGTCTGAGCCAACTTGTGTGTCTTTCTGCAGCAGTCGATTAAATTTCTGTTTGATACTGGAATGCATTAATTTGGAATTCAATAATATGAAAACAGTGAAGTTAACCTAGTAGAACTTTGAATAGAAAGCTCCTTGTAGCAATCATAGACAAATTATTTTACAAAGAGAGCAGTATGCTATATAATGAAGGTAAAATAGCAGGCAATAAGTAATCTGAGGGGAAAAATACAGAGGAACAGTAGCAATGTTTTACAACTGCTTTCTCTTCTCCAAATGAGGGTACAGTCGCTGGAAGTGCAAGACTGCCCATATCAAGTGTCGCAAACCAATCTCAGGAAACAATACCTTTGGCGAATACAGTAGGCAGTTTGTAGTCTGCCAAAGAAGGAAATTGCTAAGGCGAGTTTCACCTGAAGTTCGAATCAACATATCAGGATTATGTGCCAATCTCATGTACATATGCCTCTCTATATCTACCAGCTGTATGATCTGATTTAGCTCCTGTATCTCTTTAGTTACTTCAACATTTTGAGGTTGGTTTGCGTTAAGTTCTTGGATTTCATTCCATTTCTCTTGGCAGGATGATTGAACAGCATGCACGATCTCATCTGTCGAAGAATATGCCACACAAATTAGGAGAGTGCTATTGGTGTTATTGGCAGTGGCTTGCATTGCCTTCTCAGCTGCAACTCTAACTGGCTCGGAAAGAAGCTTCAGATTTCCTACGAAATGTACCCTCACTCCGTATTGATTGACAACGCTTTCTTTATGGAGTAGTCCTTCGATTTTCTCCAGCATTAAGTCCATCAAGTACTGAACTTCCTCTGGCCTTCTTTTGAAATTATCGATGCTGAATGCATATATTGTCATGTATTTGACACCTAATACATAGCAATATTTGAGCATTGACATGATAGCCATAAATCCAGCTCTGTATCCATTGCTCACTGCCATATTCCGTTTCTTGGCATACCTCCGATTCCCATCCAAAATAAAGGCGACGTGGTTTGGAATTGGTCCTACAGATAAAATGCGGAACAATGGCTTAAGCATGTAGAGGAGTGAACTCCCAAACAACTTCTCTGCTAAACCATCCATACTCTTCAACATTTTTCCAATCAGAACCAAGTTCAAGAGACTGCAACATAAGAGTCAGAAGCTGCAGTCAACATTGAGATAAACCAAAAACATGAAGGAAAAGTTCAGAGAAGTATATATATTACTACATTAAAAAAGAAGATACTAATACATGCTGTTGAAAAAAAGAGTATACCCTCAAATGGAAGCTGAGATGGCCAATGATAGTGCACTCAAAGCTAAGTAAAAAAGTGGATTATATCTGATATGAAAGAAGAAGCAGGACAAAGGGATCTCTAGTTTGTTTGCTGCGTTCTCCGTGTGAGCATATTATATGGGCATTTGTTGACGCTATGTACACAAATTAAAGCTCTGTATTAGAGAAAGAGATAGAGACAGAAAACACAACGTAACAACAATTCACAGTTCTCGCATGATTGCTTATTTAACGTAGCATCGACCTATATATTTTGCATCCCTTGAACAATATGGAATTGTTTTAGTGTTCAATATCGTTTATGACTTAAGAAAGAAACTAAATTAGGTCAAGGCTATACTGTGGGGTCCATCCCATCAATTAAGGAAGATTTTCTTCCTTTTGTTGATTGTTCAAAATTGGCTGCATTGTCAAAAAGGGTAGGCTGCATAAGGAAAATGTTAAATGTAGTAGGCGTGAGAGAGAGGTTCCGCGAGAGCTTCGGCTCTCATTTCTATACACCAAAAATCTCAGATAATACATCTGAGTGAGAAAGAGTAAGGTATTATATAGACAAGAAAATAGTTTGTGAAGAAAAATAGAGTGTGAGAGATATTGTAGTAAGGTGGAAAAAGCAAAAGAGTGTTCTTTCTTTTGAGGGTGTAATGGTCTTAGGAGTATTTGTACTCGTTACTACACAGTGTAAAATTACTCGTTATAGTGACATCAGTTGCTCTTCTTGGCCGTGGTTTTTTTTCCCTTATTCAGAAGGGTTGCCACGTAAAATCTTGGTGTCATTATTGATGCATTTCTATTCTTGCTGATTTAACCATAACTTAGTGTTACGCGTTTATCACTAATACCGTTAATACGGGGTTTATTCCCAACATATACTGGAGTTTCTAATTAAATATTGTAGTCTATAAGGCTCGGCTGAAGTTAAATGAGAGTGTCGAGATATTTATCAGTTGCAAAGTAACTGAAAAGTTTAACAAGCAAAGGTTACTCAGATAATGAACCGTCCGCAGACCAAACTTACTGAAAATTAACTTTCAAGCCACAGCCTTTTATTCGTTATATCATACGAGAAGATTTTAATCAATTTATTCATTCCTGAAATTTATTGGACTGTTTGTGATGATCTTATAATGGGAATATATTATGAGATACTGTGGATTTCAAATCCAAATAAAGACTTTAGCTCCAATTTTTAGTTTAGTATATCTGGCTTTTCCCTGCTGTCGAAATAACTGAGTTAGTAACCTAATCCAGATTGACCTGTTATTAGAACTAAATCCTGCCTAACATTATACTGTAAATGAAGATTCTAAAATACTAATTTCAATTCTCAACTGTATTGGGGAAATTCGGTGTTAGCGCGTGACATACCAAAATGATGATACGTAGTGAAAGCGGTTCGGAAGCCACGAGGGGACGGTGACCGGGGCCGACCGTCCATCCGAATCCGAAACAAGGACAATCGGAAGAGCATATTAAACACTTCCGGTGTCGAACTCCGTCGTACCCGGAGCCTTCCTGAGATCGTGGACCCCGTCTGTTACGCTATTGTAGTTACCACGGCCACGGGCGAGGACCTCATCAGCCCACTACCACATACTCAGCGTGTAGGCTAGAAACTCCGAACGTACGGCTACATCCTGTTTATGCTATAAATGCCTTCACTTGTAACACATATCTGATCACATATAACATTCCAGATTACTCACTATGTACTAGTATTCCTGCGAAGCTATCTTTCTCATTGTATCCATTAAGGCATAGCCACATCCGAGACCGAGGCTCAATTAGATTTCTTTTATCTTAATCTCAATTTCGGTCTATTTATCATTATTGTTCTTCATTTCATTATACGCATTTTGGATTAATCAGCTTGCTCTAAAATACAAATTCAATTATTTATTCTAAACCTTATCATTTGAGGTGTTAAAATATCGAAATAATGACTGATCATCCTTACTATCATAGTCATTAGATTTGGATATATGATTAGCAGTAGCAACTACTGGTCTGAGGAAAAGCAGGACAAAGTGCATGTAAAAGACTAATAAAGGTAAAATAGCAGTGATTTCTTTTCCTTCTCCGAATGAATGAGGATACAGTCGCTGGAAATTCAAGACTGCCCATACCAAATGTCGTAAACCAATCTCAGGAAACAATACCTTTGGAGAATACAGTAAACAGCTTGTAGTCTGCCAAAGAAGGAAATTGCTAAGACGAGTTTCACCCGAAGTTCGAATCAAAACATCAGGATCAGGTGCCAATCCCATGTATGTATGCCTCTCTATATCTACCAGCTTTATGATATGTTTTAGCTCCTGTTTTTCTTCAGTTATTTCACCATTTTGAGCTTGGTTCGCGTCAAGTTCTTGTATTTCATTCCATTTCTCTAGGCAAGATGATTGAACGGCGTGCAAAATCTCATCAGTAGAAGTGTAGGCCACACAGATTAAAAGAGTGCTATTGGTGTTGTTGACAGTAGCTTGCATTGCCTTCTCAGCTGCAACTCTAACTCGCTCGTTAAGAAGCTTCAGGTCCCCTACGAAATGGACCCTCACTCCGTATTCATTGACAATGCTTTCTTGCTTGATTAGTCCTTCAATTTTCTCCAGCATTAAGTCCATTAAATACTGAACTTCCTCCGGTCTTATTTTGAAGTTATCGTAACCGAATGCATATATAGTCGTGTATTTGACACCCAATTCGTAGCAATACTTGAGCATGCACATGACAGCCAAAAAAACAGCTCTATATCCAGTAGCCTCGGCTATATTCCATTTCTTAGCATACCTCCGATTCCCATCCAGAATAAAGGCGATGTGGTTTGGTATTGGACCTACAGATAAAATTCGGAACAGAAATCTACGCATGTAAATGATTGAGCTCCCAACCAACCTCCTCGCTAAACTATCACTTGTCTTCAACATTTTGTGTTCCCAGATCATATTCAAACAGTTGTAGTTTACGTGTCAGAACCTGCAGTCTGCATTCATATCAAAGTCAAAGTTTCGAAATGCATTAGAAATTTTATAGACAAACATCAAGAACCATAATAAATTGAGATCACCATTCAAAGGTGGTTTCTTTTTGGTCAAGAACTCGATATTTTTCCCGAGCCAGTAATGTGGAATTATACTCCCAATAAAGATTACATATAAAATACAAGAACGATAAACATTGAAGAAAAGAAGAATAAAACAGACAGGTATTATAAGACAGAAATACTCAGAAGATGCTGTTGGAGGAATGTCTGTACCCTCAAATGGACACTGAGATGGCCAAAAGCTGATGATTGTGATTTTGGCTAAGTTTATGTAAAAGCTAGGGATCTCTATTTGGTTAGCAGCGTCGTCCTTGTGGACTAATTATAAGGCCTGCATTTTGTGGGGTCAAACCCCTTAATTTAAGGAAGAAGTTTTCTTCCTTGCTTCAGTTTTCAATATAGGCTGCAGCAGCCCACGTTTTCTTTGTCTGTCAAAGAAAGTAGGTTGCAGAATATTGAAATGTCAAGTATGGGAGGCTCGTTTTTGCCTATAAAATGAGAGTTTCGGCTCTCATTTTTTATCATCAATCTCAGAGGAAAATATATCTGAGAGCTAGAAAGAAAGAGTGAGGTTTCACAGACAGGATATAAGAAAATAGTCTGTGAAGAAAATAGAGAGTGTGAGCGATATTGTAGTGAGGTGAAATATCAAAAGAGGGTTATTTCTTTTGAGTATTGTAGTGGTCTTTGTAGTATTTTTACTCGGGCCTACAAAGTGTAAATTCCTTACTATAGTGATATCAGTTGCTCCTCTCGGGGTCGTGGTTTTTCCCTTATTCAGAAGGGTTTTCCACGTAAAAATCTTGGTGTCATTGTTACTCTTTTATTCTTGTTAATAACCGTATCTCGGTGCTACATTATTATTCCGCTTTTATTACAGTGAATATTATTTTGGCAGGGGGTTTATTCCCAACAACTGGTATCAAAGCACAGGTTCTGCTCGTTCACTGAAATATTATTCACTGTCGGTAGTACTATACTTGGTGAAAAACAAAAATGTCCGGAGGAAAGTACGAGGTAGCAAAATTCAACGGAGATAACGGTTTCTCAACATGGCAAAGAAGGATGAG